GGCATGGGGCAGCTCCCCATGCCAGCCTCTGGACCAGCTCCTTCACCTTGAAACTGGGGGCCACTGGCCCCAGCCCTCTTAGCTGTGTGCCCAGCACCAGCCCCATTTTCTTTTCCTCATTTGACAGAGTTGGGGAGTGGTGGATAAAATGACGTAAAAGCAACCACTGTCCACGAGAGACTGATGGGCGTGGAGCCAATAGCAGGGTGGGCCCCCCACCCGCCAGCCTCCCCCGGAGGGCTCGTGAGTGCCAACAGCTCGGCTGCGCCGAATCCTTGCTGCCCCACACCTCACGGCAGGGAGGGGTCCGGCTAGCCATCTGCCCTCACCCCTTGGGCCGTGGGCCCCTCCGGCTCAGCTGACCCTCACATCCCAGAAACTGCACTATGGGGCAGGGGTGAGGCGGCCGGGCTGAGAGCTCCGCAGGCGGCGCCCGGATGGTGCCCAGGACAGCGGTGATGCCCAGGGTGGGGCAGCGCGTCCTCCTGGTGGGTTGACCCTGAGGGGAGGCTCTCTTTCTGGGGGCTTAGTAGGTCTTGGCTGTCTCTGCCGCTGGGTCCTTGGAAGAGGCAGCGTTGGTGGGCTTCGAGGGGAGGCTTTCCAGACCCCTGGAGAGACCAGAAGCCTCTGCCCCCCCATTCACACGTCCTCCAAAGAGCCCCGGACCTCCCCCTGCCCCGCGGTCCCTAGCCTCAGCTAAGGAGCCCGGCTGTCTTCCTGCTTCTCCCCCTCTCACCCCGTAACTTGTCGGAACATTCAGGACCTCCAGCCCTGCAGAGAGGGGTGTGCTGGATCCTTGTGGGGTTCTCCCGTGGGTGCCCGTGAACGAGGATGGTTGTTGCCCACAGAGAGTGGTCTTGAGACGCCGTACTTTGGGGTGGGGGCTGCCTTGTTCTCTGGGATTCCTTATGCCCGGAATGGGCCCCCTCTGCCCCAAGCTGACCTCTCCTGGTGCCTGGCCCAAGGACGCTCCCTACCTGTCCCAGAGGCCTGGGGGCCCTGGGCTCTCTTGTCTTGGGGAGTCCTTGGAAACACCCCTTCCCCCCATTTAGGCCAGGCTCTTGGGATTCAAAATAGACCCCACAGAATAGCAGTGGGCCTGACTAACGATCGATCGTTTTCATCAAGGTGTCCTGTTTGGTATTCGTCACCCACAGCACATGGGGAGGCACAAGGTGGTCCCACCATTCCGTTCCTCCTGGGACACCCCCATCCCCGGCCTCCTGACTCAGGTAACTTTCCCCTCCTTCCTCGTTCCCAGGCCTTGAGTGGGTTGGGTTTTAAAGTTTTTTCCCTGCAGCTGCAAATCAGAAAACCAGGTCGTAAAAGAACCTTGGGTGAGCGAGTGGGATGGCCCCAGGGCCCCCGCTGGGGAACAGAAGCTTCCTCCTCGCCCCTCCCTCCCAGGTCCCTGCGGGAGCTACAGCAGCTCCGGCCCACGCTGGGCCACTTCCCTGACCGGGGCCTGACCCTGGGGGCTAGAGAGGCTGTGGGCCCAGTGAGTTGTCTCTGAGGCTGCCCAGGGCACAGCAGGCAGCCAGGGGCCGCCACTGCCCACTAGTAGATTCCCTACAGTTGGGTGGGGCCCGACCCGGCTTCTGGGGCCACGCAGGTTGCAGAGGGGACCTGGGCACCCCCATTTCCTTATCGTGCCCCAAGGGGCCTTCCTCTAAACTGGGAATTCTTGGCGAGGGCCGTCCATGCCGCTGCGGCATCCGTCACAAGGAGCTGCCCTGTGGGGGGCTCACACTCAGGTCCTCGCCCCCCTGAGCCTCCCCTTTCTCTGTAAAAGGGCAGAACAGTCAAAGCAGAGAGTGTGCAGACAGGGGGTGGGCAGGCACCGCGGGCAAGGCTGCCCCTGCCCCCCACACGAGCGGGTCCCGCAGTGCCTGTGCGGGGACCGCAGAGCCGTGCTCTTCGCCTGAAAACACGGCTGAGCCCTGGTTGCCCTGCTGCCGAAGGCCTTCGGGGGCTGATGGCCTCATGCCTGGGGCCTGAGGGTGTCTGTGGGGCTCGTCACGCCCCCTTTCACGGCGTGGGGGGCAGGGAGACCCGTCGCTGAGCTAGAGGAGTCCCGGGGCACGGGCGGGCCCTGCGGCCCGGCCCAGCTTTGCGCTGTTTCTGCCTGGGCCAGGGGCCCGGGCAGGCCGGCTCACAGGAGTCGCCACAGAAGCACTGACGGATCTGGAGCTCAGGACTGACTTCCTCCTCCCTTCCTTCTTTCCTCTTTTTCCTTCTTCCTTCCCTCCCAGTTTGGCTAGAACCTGAGATGTGGCCTTGACCAAGTGTCTGGGGGCGGGGGGGGCAGGCGGGTCTGGACCAGGAGTCGTCCTGTGAAGGTATGTTACTGGGTGCCCTCCCCTGACCCCCACCCCTTCTCCCTCTAGCAGAACAGAGGCCAGACCCCCAGCCTGCACCCCTCCGCTGCCACCTCTCCTCCCGGGTTCAGAGGTCACCACCTCTGCCCAGCGAACCTCTTTCCGCCCCCTCCTGATGCCGCCCACCCCAGCTCTCAGCCTGCCTCTCTCCTGCCTGTCCTTTTCTAGTGCTCTTGAAAACTAATCATAATCATAATAATTAATAACAACAGAGCCTGTGGCAGGCCTGAGGCAGCTCTTAAAGAGGCCGAGCCCCATTTTCTCCCAGCAGAGCTGGCGGGGGCCGGGGACCTGGTGGCTCTGAGAGGTGGCCTTTGCTCCTGCGCTCCCCTCCCCTCCCTGGGCCTGGGGTCGGAGGTGGTGCTGGGAGGCAGTTTCGCCTGCCTTCTCCACCAGCCACTGGGCTTCGCGTGTTTTAATTGAACTGTCCTGTCTTGGAGATAGATGCTTTCGCCGCGTCCAGCTGCTCCTGTGCGTTGGAAAACCCGCTGTAATACGGCTCTGCGAAATTCAAAGACGCAGCAGCTGGACTGATTAAACAGGGAAGGGGACACTGGCCAGAGCACTCTTTTTAAATAACGTTTCTGGTAACGCATTTGTAGAGAATGCGAAAAAATATTAAAAAAAAAAAAAAGCTGTAGAAATGTTAACGATAGCCACAAGACGCTCAGCGGGAAATGAGAGCGATCTGGGTAATAAAAGCCGAAATGTAATTTGTGCGGATATGCGACGCGCAGCCTTCAGAGTGGGCCTCGGTTTGCGAATTCCGGGCTCATCAGCGAGGCCAGGGAGGGCAGAGCGCGGGGACTGCAGAGGACACTGAGCAGAGGCCTCCACCTGCCAGCTCAGGCCTGGGCCAGAGGGAGTGCCCGTGTGCACTGCCCAAGGGCAGAAGGAGCCTCCCCTGCCCCGCCGGCACCCCCCTCCCGGAGCCCCATGGGGGAGGTGCGGGCTGCCCACCTGGCGGGGAGCCGCCCCGGAACCGAGGCTGGGTCACGGCAGGCACCTCCTGTCGTGTTTGATTGCAGCTACCAGGATGGACTAAATTGGGTCAGAAGGGGGTCTCCTCCGTGTCGGGGCGCCTGTGATGAGCTAGGGAGAGTACATGGCATGGGGCTGTGACCCGTCCTGTGGGCAGGGGCCGAGCCCTCTCCAGGGTCACAGCTTCAGTCCCTGAGTCCGGGCAGCCGACTGCCAAGGGCAGGGAGGTTGGCCTGGGCTGTGCTGACAGGGTTTCTGGGGTTGCCCGGCCGCCCCAGGCTTGACCCCTCTCTGGTCAGCACCCCGCCCCACCCCCCGGCCACCGCATGAGGAGAGCATGGAGGTGGGATCTGGGTGAAGAAGGGGTGAGCTGCACCTCTTGGGGGAGGTGTGCCTGTCCCCCACCCCGTTCTCTGTGCTCCCCCCGCAGAGCCCTGGAGGCTCGTAGCCCATGGCGAGCCACCCCTTCCTCTTTGGGGTTGGGAACGGGCACTGCGAGGTTCCCTGTGCCCTCCTGGGGGCCTGGGCTGTGCAGGCGAGCATGGTGTGTGTAAACGCCGTGCCCAGGGACGCAGGCTACCGCCAGCCCTCGCCATGAGGACTCCTGAGCCTGGGGCATCCTTTCTCCTTCCTCCCTCCTCCGAGGGTCTTGGGTGGCGGCAGGACCACCATTAGCCTGGACGCTGCAGCTGGCCTGTTATGTGAATCCAGTTGTTCTGCCCTGAAGGCCCCCCACCCCCACTCCAGGGTCACTTCCTGACCCCCGATCCTGCTTTGGGGCAGGTCGGACCCTGTGCGCGCCGGCCCCTAAAATCATAAACAGATGGGCTCTCGGCCTGGCCCTGACCCCGTGCAGGCCCCGCCCACCCAGGAGGCCCAGGGCTGCCTCTCACGTGGAGGGACCGCAGCCCTGTCCCCCATCAGCATGTGCTGCCTCTCTCCGGGCCACGTAATCTGTTTACGTGCCTACGGTATGAAAAATAGGAGGCAGGTGCCGCCGTCCTGCGTTCCTGGGAGTCAAGGAGGGGACATTTTATGCCTACAGTGGCTCGGCAGCCCCTAATCAGCGTCTGCTGGAAGGAACAGACAGATTCCAGATGGCATGGCAGTGATGGAGGAGGTGTGTGTGTGTGTGTGCGTGTGTGCGCGTGCGCGCACGCCAGGCCTCGGTGAGTTGCTTCTGGGGCAGGGCAAGCTGTCCCCAGCCCCCCGCACGCTGGGTCACGCCTGAACACTGCTGCACTGGGGCTAGCTTACCAGATCCAGCAGCCCCAGGGGACAGGGGAGCGGGAATTGCCCTGCTAAATGATTCTGAAATGGCAGGGAAGGGCTGTGGGGGAGGGAGGGGGGAGCCGGCTGGGGGAGGGGGCAGCTCCCCAGTGACCTGGCGCTGGGCAGCCGGGGCGCACCTCCCTCCTCGGTGGCCTCCCTGTACCCATCCCTGTCGGAGCGGGAATTACAGAGCACACGTCCCTGACACAGAAGTTGTCAATATGTGCACAGCCGGTGGGGAGGCTGCGGGAGAGGGCAGGGCCGGGAGGGGGGCCGGCTCTCCGAGGGAGAGGAAATGGCTCGTCTGAATCGCTCTCCCTCTGCCCCTCCCCGCCCTCCCTCTCGCCCTTTCTCTTTTCACAGATAACCAGCCCGAGTCATGCAGTCTTTTCGAGAAAGGTGTGGTTTCCATGGCAAACAACAGACCTACCAGCAGACCTCACAGGAGACATCTCGCCTGGAGAATTACCGGCAGCCGAGTCAGGCTGGGCTGAGCTGCGACCGGCAGCGTCTGCTGACCAAGGACTATTACGGCCCGCAGCCCTTCCCCAGCTACGAGGGCGGCGCCGGCACGCCCGCCACGGCGGCGCGCGCCAGCAAAGGCCTGTCCTCGCCGCAGGCCCCGCAGGGGAGGCCGTCCTTCGCGGGCTACGCCGTCCAGGACGGCAGCCCCTACCCCGGCCGCTACTCGGGGGAGGAGGGCCTGCAGGCCTGGGGGGCGCCGCAGCCACCACCCCCGCAGCCGCAACCCCTGCCAGGGGCGGTGGGCAAATATGACGAGAACCTGATGAAGAAGACAGCAGCGCCCCCCGCCCGGCAGTACCCAGAGCAGGGCGCCCAGCTGCCCTTTCGGACTCACACCCTCCACGTCCAGCAGCAGCTGTCGCAGCCCCTGGCTTACCCCAAGCTCCAAAGGCAGAAACCCCAGAACGACCTCGCCTCGCCCCTGCCCTTCCCCCCGGGCAGCCACTTCCCCCAGCAGTCCCAGTCCTTCCCCGTCTCCTCCACCTACTCCTCCACCGGCCAGGGTGGCGGGCAGGGGGCCCACTCCTACAAGAGCTGCACGGCCCCGTCCACCCAGCCCCACGACAGGCCGCTGACCGCCAACGCCGGCCTGGCCCCAGGCCAGCGGGTCCCGAGCCTTCACGCCTACCAGCCTGGGCGCCTCAGCTACGAGCCACAGAAGCAGCAGCAGCAGCAAGCCCTCCAGAGCCGCCACCACGCCCAGGAGACCCTCCACTACCAGAGCCTCACCAAGTACCAACACTACGGGCAGCAAGGCCCCGGCTACTGCCAGCCGGACGCGGCCGTCAGGACCCCGGAGCAGTACTACCAGACCTTCAGCCCCGGCTCCAGCCACTCGCCCGCTCGCTCCGTGGGCCGCTCCCCTTCCTACAGCTCCACCCCGTCGCCGCTGATGCCCAACCTGGAGAACTTTCCCTACAACCAGCAGCCGCTTGGCCCTGGAGCCTTCCCCGCCGGTCTCGCGGACCACAGCCACTTCCTGCCCCTGCTCAACCCCTCCCCGACGGACGCCGCCGGCTCCGTGGATGCCCAGGCCGCCAACTGCAAGGCCCTGCAGAAGGACAAGCTTCCTGAGAGCCTGCTGTCAGACCTGAGCCTGCACAGCCTCACGGCACTGACCTCGCAGGTGGAGAACATCTCCAACACTGTGCAGCAGCTGCTGCTCTCCAAGGCGGCCATGCCCCAGAAGAAGGGCGTCAAGAGCCTGGCGGCCCGGACCCCGGAGCAGCACAAGAGCCAGCACTGCAGCCCCGAGGGCAGCGGCTACTCGGCCGAGCCGGCGGGCACGCCGCTGTCAGAGCCGCTGAGCAGCACCCCGCAGTCCACGCACGCCGAGCCGCCCGAGGCCGACTACCTGAGCGGCTCCGAGGACCCGCTGGAGCGCAGCTTCCTCTACTGCAGCCAGGCCCGCGGCAGCCCCGCCAGGGTCCACGGCAGCTCCAAGGCCAAGCCCGAGTCCGTGTCCACCTGCTCTGTGACTTCGCCCGACGACATGTCCACCAAGTCCGATGACTCCTTCCAGAGCCTGCACGGCAGCCTGCCGCTCGACAGCTTCTCCAAGCTCGTGGCTGGCGAGCGGGACTGCCCGCGCCTGCTACTCAGCGCCCTGGCACAGGAGGACCTGGCCTCCGAGATCCTGGGGCTGCAGGAGGCCATCAGCGAGAAGGCCGACAAGGTCTGGGCCGAGGCGCCCGGCCTGGCCAAGGACACCGGCAAGCCGCCCTTCTCACTGGAGAACCACAGCGCCTGCTTGGACCCCATGGCCAAGGGTGCGTGGCCGCGGCCGGGGGAGCAGGACGCCCTGCCCGAGGCCCTACAGCTGGAGAAGGGCGGCGGCACCAAGGACTTCGGCCCGGGGCTGTTCGAAGATCCCTCCGTGGGCTTCGCCACCCCTGACCCCAAGAAGACAACTGGTCCCCTCTCCTTTGGTGCCAAGCCCACGCTGGGGGCCGCCGCCTCGGACCCCGCCACGGCGGCTTTCGACTGCTTTCCAGACACGACCGCCGCCAGCTCGGCGGACAGCGCCAACCCCTTCGCCTGGCCCGAGGAGAACCTGGGGGACGCCTGTCCCCGGTGGGGGCTGCACCCCGGCGAGCTCGCCAAGGGCCTGGAGCAGGGCGGGAAAGCCACCGACAGCGTTGGCCAGGAGGACGCCCGCGAGGCTTCGGCCTGCCTGGGCTTCCAGGAGGAGCAGCCCTCGGCGGAGAAGGCCGTGGTGCCCCGGGACTCCCAGCAGGAGGAGGGGGGAGGGGTGAAGGAGGAGGCGGGCGGGCTGCTGCAGTGTCCCGAGGTGGGCAAGGCCGACCGGTGGCTGGAGGACAGCCGGCACTGCTGCTCCGCCGCTGACTTCGGAGACCTCCCGTTGCTGCCGCCCGCCGGCAGGAAGGGGGACTTGGAGGCGGAGGAGTACTCGTCTCTGTGCGAGCTCCTGGGCAGCCCCGAGCAGAGGCCGGGCCTGCAGGACCCGCTGTCGCCCAAGGCCCCGCTGCTGTGTGGCAAGGAGGAGGTGGAGGAGGTGCTGGACCCCAAGGCCGGCTGGGGCTCCCCGTGTGCCCTGTCTGGCGAGTCCGTCATCTTGCTGGGCCCCACCGTGGGCACCGAGTCCAAGGTGCAGAGCTGGTTCGAGTCCTCCCTCTCCCACATGAAGCCAGGGGAAGAGGGGCCCGAGGGGGCGCTGGCCCCAGGGGATTCCACCGCCCTGGCCCCGGAAGCCTCCCTGACCCAGAAGCCGAACAAGCCCGCTGTGCCCGAGGCGCCCATCGCCAAGAAGGAGCCTGTGCCTCGCGGCAAAAGCTTACGGAGCCGGCGGGTGCACCGGGGGCTGCCCGAGGCCGAGGATTCCCCGTGCAGGGCCCCGGCGCTGCCCAAAGACCTGCTGCTCCCTGAATCGTGCACGGGGCCCCCCCAGGGACAGATGGAAGGGGCGGGGGCCCCAGGCCGGGGGACCTCGGAAGGGCTCCCCAGGATGTGCACCCGCTCCTTCACGGCCCTGAGTGAGCCCCGCACGCCCGGACCCCCGGGCCTTCCCACCACCCCTGCCCCCCCAGACAAGCTGGGGGGCAAGCAGCGAGCTGCCTTCAAGTCGGGCAAGCGGGTGGGGAAGCCCTCCCCCAAGGCCGCATCCAGCCCCAGCAACCCGGCCGCCCTGCCCGTGGCCTCCGACAGCAGCCCCATGGGCTCCAAGACCAAGGAGACAGACTCGCCGGATGCACCGGGCAAAGACCAGCGCTCCATGATCCTCCGGTCCCGCACCAGGACCCAGGAGGCCTTCCACTGCAAGCGGCGGCGGGCCTCGGAGAGCCGGCTCCCCAACTGCCGCGCCGCCAAGAAGCTCCTCGCCAACAACCACCTGCCCGCCACGTTCAAGGTCGCCGGTAGCCCCCAGAAGGAGGGCAGGGCGGGCCAGCGGGCAAGGGTCCCCAAGCCTGGTGCAGGCGGCAAGCTCTCCGATCGGCCCCTCCACACCCTCAAGAGGAAGTCGGCCTTCATGGCACCTGTCCCCACCAAGAAGCGCAACCTGGTCTTACGCAGCGGCAGCACCAGCGGGGACACGAAGGAGGAGGGGGCCGAGGGCCCTCCCACCCTCTTCAAGAGGATGACGTCTCCCAAGAAGGCCAAGCCCACCAAGGGCAACAGTGAGCCCACGGCAAAGCCACCGCCCCCGGAGACCCCTGACGCCAGCCTGAAGCTGGCCTCACGGGCGTCCGTCCAGGGGGCCATGAAGACCAAGGTGCTGCCCCCCCGGAAAGGCCGGGGCCTGAAGCTGGAGGCCATCGTGCAGAAGATCACCTCGCCCAGCCTGAAAAAGTTCGCGTGCAGAGCACCAGGGGCCCCTCCCGGGAATCCTCTGAGCCCATCCCTCCCCGAGAAGGACCGCGGGCTCAAGAGCGCAGGGGGCAGCCCGCTGGGGGCAGAAGAAGGTCTCTTAAACGTGAGCACTGGGCAGAAGTTCCCAGCAGCCTTGGGGGCCAATCCGTTATGCAGAAATCCGACCAACAGATCCTTAAAAGGCAAACTCGTGAACAATAAGAAACTGTCCTCGACCGACGGTTTCAAAACTGAGGCCTTCACATCCCCAGAGGCCCTACTGCCCGGGGGCACTGCCCTGGCACCTAAGAAGAGAAGCCGGAAAGGCAGGGCTGGAGCCCTGGGACTCCCCAAAGGCTCCCTGGAGAAGAGGCCTCATCTCGGCCCAGCTCTGCTCCTGACGGCCAGCAGCACGCAGGGGGGCAGCGAGGACAGCCCTGGCGGAGGAGGCAAGAAGCCAAAGACGGAGGAGCTGGGGCTGGCCTCCCAGCCCCCTGAGGGCCGGCCCTGCCAGCCCCAGGTGAGGGCACAGAAGCAGCCTGGCCACGCCAACTACAGCAGCTATTCCAAGCGGAAGCGCCTGACGCGGGGCCGGGCCAAGAACGCCACCACCTCACCCTGTAAGGGGCGTGCCAAGCGGCGGCGGCAGCAGCAGGTGCTGCCCCTGGATCCCGCAGAGCCTGAAATCCGCCTCAAATACATTTCCTCCTGCAAGCGGCTGCGAGCAGACAGCCGCACCCCCGCCTTCTCGCCCTTCGTGCGGGTGGAGAAGCGGGACGCGTTCACCACCGTATGCACTGTTGTCAACTCCCCCGGAGACGAGCCCAAGCCCCACAGGAAGCCTTCCTCCTCTTCATCCTCTTGCTCCTCCTCCTTGGACGCGGCCGGGGCCTCCCTAGCCACGCTCCCTGGAGGCTCCGTCCTGCAGCCTCGGCCCTCCCTGCCCCTTTCCTCCACCATGCATCTGGGGCCCGTGGTCTCCAAGGCCCTGAGTACCTCTTGCCTTGTTTGCTGCCTCTGCCAAAACCCAGCCAACTTCAAGGACCTCGGGGACCTCTGTGGGCCCTACTACCCCGGACACTGCCTCCCCAAAAAGAAGCCAAAACTCAAGGAGAAGGTGCGGCCAGAGAGCACCTGCGAGGAGGCCTCGCTGCCTCTTGAGAGGACACTCAAAGGCCTCGAGTGCCCAGCTGCCGCTGCCGCCACCACCACCGCCACCACCACCACCGGGAAGCCCCCCAGGCCTGACGGCCCAGCCGATCCAGCCAAGCAGGGCTCCCTGCGCACCAGCGCCCGGGGCCTGTCCCGGCGGCTGCAGAGTTGCTACTGCTGTGACGGTCGGGGGGAAGGTGGTGAAGAGACAGCCCCAGCTGACAGGAGCCGCAAGCACGAGTGCAGCAAGGAGCTGCCGGCAGAGCCTGGCGGGGACGCACAGGAGCACTGGGTGCACGAGGCCTGCGCCGTGTGGACGGGCGGGGTCTACCTGGTGGCCGGGAAGCTCTTTGGGCTGCAGGAGGCCATGAAGGTGGCCATGGACATGGTAAGAGGCCAGCCCAGCCGGTGGGGACCTCAGGTTCTGCAGGCAGGCAGGCCATCTCTCTAATGCTACAATCTGGCCCAAACACACCACAATCACAAATGAATACGCGGGGAGCCTAGCCACAACGTGGAGGCATGCTCCAGGCTGAGGCAGGACACATCTGCCCAGCCCTGCCCCAGACCTCCACTGTGGCCCCTTACTGCCTGCTCAGCCCTGTACCCACCACGCACGCACTCGGCCCCTTCCGGCTGCAGCACGCCCCCACCCAAGCCCCCAAGCACCCTGCTCACCTCATCAGCTGAGATGCTCAGGCCCCAGAACTGCATGTCAGGGGGTTGCCTCCGTGGCCTCAGGGGCAGCGGGACCTGCGGGGGAAGAGCCTCTCCAGCACCAGGTGGCTGGACTGTGAGTCCTTAGGGGCAGGTGGTCCAGGAACCTTTCCTGCGAGGCCCTAAAACGTCCCCTGAGGAACACAGTCGCTGAGGGCTTGGTTTAGGTCCCAGCGCTGCCCCTTGCTGTGTGTCTCCAAGAATATAACCTAACCTCTCTGTGCCTCCGTTTCCTTATCTCTAAAGTGGGCATGATAGTCCCCTGTGGAGGGGCCCTGAGAATTATGTGAGTTCACACCCATAAAGCTATTACAGCCATGCCTGGCCTGTCCACGTGCTCCGTGACTATCTCCTGGGGCCAGTGACAGTGGCAGCCACCTGGATGACACTAGCATGTTGTCTCAGCAGTGTGACCATTACTCCGATCACCGAGGGGACCCCCGATCCCCTCACTCCCGGGGATGGGGTGGGACTCGGCACTCTGTCCTGCAGCCCGTGCTCCTGCCCCCTCCCCAGCCCTCGGGGCCCCACCGCCCTGTGCCCACCCCACCTGCCCACCTGTTCCCTCTGGGTATCCCCACCCCGGCACCAGCCACGCGGACAGCCCTATGCTGGGCAGGGGGGCGCTACTGGGCTGCCCACACCTCCCTGTTTCCGGCGCCTGACCCTCTCTGTGCGGGGTCCTCTAGCCCAACAGCAGCCCCAAGACCCGGAGCCCTCACCCTTCCTGCCTCCGGTCTCCTCCCCTCCCTCCTCACTGCCTCCTTCCTAGCGGCCCTGAAATAGGTTCAGGTGTCTCCTGCCATTAAAAGATAATACCAAACGCTCAGATCACCAGGCCAGCTAGCGGCCACCTGCGGCCTCCTGAAAGTCTCCCCGGCTTGCTCCGCCCCACTGGGCTGCACTGCTTCTGCACCTTGTCCAAGCACAGGGGCCAACCCCCCCTTTCCCAGGTCACCTGTTCCAGGCGCTTTGGTCTCACCTCACTGCACCAACCTCCTGTTGGCCTGGGGAGGAAGCCGGGGGGCCGAGTGGCCTTGCGGTTTCCTGGCGTCACGCGGCTGTTACGTCACAGAGCTGGAGCTTGGCCCGGTCGCCCCATCTCTGCCCGCTGTGCCATCCTCCAATAATGGTCCAGTGGCCTCCCACCCTGGGAGCATCCCTGGGAAGGTCAGAACACGGGTGGTCACCGGCCGCCCTGCCAGAGAGGGTGTCCCGGGCCAGGCGGAGCTCATTAAAGCAGCGCCTGCACCTGGAGAGCACCCTGCCTGCAAAGATGGGCGGGGTCTGGGGTTTCCCAGGTCATGGTTCAGCCCCCTGCCCACTGACAAGCCCAGACCTCCGTGGGCCGCCCGTCCCCCCAAGACCCTTTCTGCCTCGGAGCCTTGGAGTCGGGCAGACCCCGGTTCCAATCCCAGCTCTGCCCCAAGAGCCAGTTCTGTGACCCCAGCAAGTCACCGTCCTCTGTGAGCCTCGGGGCGCTGAAGCCCGTCAGCAGGGTGGGGCTGCGGGGACAGCCGGACCCCGGCCTTCACGCCCATCAGCACCCTGGCTCTGCGGGAACAGAACTTCTGCACAGGCCCGGGGGCACCCCTCTTCCTTCTGTGTCCCTTCCTGGGGGCCCCTACACACCTACCCGCCCTGAGCCGTGCTGTGCCCACCTCCAGGGACCTCAGTTTCCTAGTCTGCCCAGAGGCTGCTTCTCCCCACAAACTCCCAGGCCCCCCATCACCCGCCCAGGGGAACAGCTCAGAACGTGGGCGCTGGGGTCGGAAGGGCCCGAGGCCTCTCCGTACCTCCATTTCTCCACATCTGAGATGCCTGTCTCAAGGGTTTGGGGGCCTCAGTGCAGGCGGGGTGGCGTGAGCCCGTCACCAGAGGAGCCCACTGTCGCTGTTTAGCCATGAAGGGTCACTTGGGCCTGGTCTGGGGGCCCACTCCTGCTCCGTCACACCTTCGCCACAGAGCCCTAGGAGGCTCAGTCCTGAGCAGAAGGAGACTGCCGTCCCGAGGCAATGGATGTTCCAGACCGACCCCCAGCCCCCACCCCGGCTCCAGGACGCGCATGCCCAGGCACTTCTCAGGCTAGGCCCAGGGAGGGCGTGAGAAGACTCATTCCTGGCCTCCCACCCGCTGGGGGTGAGGTCCCCATCAGTCCCTGGCATGGGAAGGAGCCCACCCCTGCCCCCCACCCCGAGCAGTGAGGCACCATGACCGCCAGCCTGTGCTCCAGCGGGGTTGCTGGGCTCAAAGCCCGTCCAGCTGCTCTTGAGCTGTGTGCCCTTGGGCAAGTTACTCGGCTTTTCTGAGCTCTCATCCCTCACCTGTATAAAATAAAGTGATGCTGATGCCATCGGGGTGTTCTCAGGAGGCAGCCTCCACGTGTGCCTGGTGTGTCACGAACTGCAGTTACTGGTTTCAGTGGCTTAGCCTTCGCGCGGGGGCCTGCCCCCCTCCCCAACCTCACTCCCCTGCTGCACAGGGGGTCTGCAGGATCTGGGGACCAGCCTGTCCCTCCCCAGGCCTCAGGTTTTGCTTCCAAGGGTCTTCTTGGCATCGCCATCCTGTCCTGGCACGTCCCCCTGCAGGCAGCTGGGCCCAACCTGGGGCAGCCCCCAAGCTCAGACCACGGTTTTGGCTTTTGAGAGGCCGAGTGGGCCAGCTGCCGTGCCGGCCGGCGTAGGGTTTACGTGAACCCCGCGTGCAGGCAGTGGCTGTTTCCTCCTCGTGGGTCCTGGGCAGGGTGAGCAGCCTCTGAGTAGAGCACCGACTCAGGGTCCAGTGCTTGTTCTGACCCCGGAAAGGGTAGGAAATGATACTTATCACCTCCGCCTGGAGCGGGGGCCTCAGCTTCACTGTCTGTGAAGTGGCGTCCGTGAAGCTGCCCACCCGGAGGCTGTGGGGAGGAGCTGGCAGGCGAGGGCACAGCCGGGCGGTGACGGGCCCTGTGCGTTGTCGTCCGCTGGGCACATGGAGTTGCTCATTTCATCTTCACGACTGTCCTGTAAGGCAGGCGCCGTCCCCCCGTATGGAGGAGGCGGGAGGAGCGGAGTTGCTTGGCTATGGTCGCGCGGTGCACAGGGGCTGAGCCGGGGCTCGCCCGGGCCTGCGGGACGCCGAGGCTTATCCACAAGATGGTTGCTTTCCCGCCCTGAGAGCTCCCCCCGCCCAAGGTGCCGGGCCGGCGGCTGCCACAAAAGCAACCCTGTGGACGTCCATCCTGAGCCTCCCTCCAAGCTGCCTGTCCAGGGCCCCCTGGGAGGAAGGGGTGGGGGCCGGGCCCCTCGACTGCAGACTCACCTGTCTTCCCTCTCTCCTCGCCAGACTTGTTCCAGCTGCCAGGAAGCCGGGGCCACCATCGGGTGCTGCCACAAAGGATGCATCCACACCTACCATTACCCATGTGCCAGCGATGCGGGTAAGAGCCAGCCCAAGGGGACCGAAGGTCGGGGGACGCAGGCACAGCTCCTCGAGCTGACCCCACTTGACCCATCGGCTTCCCTCTTCTCCTGCCCCAGCAATTCTTTACCTTCTCATGTCTCTCGGCTGGGCCCTGAGCTGGGCAGTGCTGGTGACAAGGAGACACGTCAGTCCCCAGCCACCTGCTGGAGGAGGGCCCAGAAGCACAAAAAGTGGAAAGCTGTATGTGAGCTGCCGTTGCCGAGGGGTGCCTACAGCTCGGGAGGGTCTCGGGCCTCCAAGAGCAGGGCTACCGGGCTGGGCCTTGGAAAAAGGCTGAATAGGAGTTCACTGGGTTGGAGAAAAAGGAGAAAAGATAGTTCAGTAACAAAAATTGAGTGAGATGGAAAAAGAGGAAGTTCAAGACAGACTCCCCCTGGCTCCACGGCACAGCTGTGGAAGGTTTAAGCAGGATGGTGGGCCCTGGAGTCAGGACCAGGCTCCCCTGCACCTGCCCCATTCTCTCCGCTCCCCCACTCACTTGACCCGCGGGCATTTATCGAGCACCTACCATCACCAGGCAGGTGGCATACTGATGGCCTGGGCCAGAGAGCCCGGAGCCCCCAGTCCTGGTGGCACGCTTCAGGTGTGGACTGGGTGAGTCCAGCACTGTCTCTGCACTCGGTTCCCCATCTGTAAAGCTGAAGTTAGAGTCATTTCTTCTTTCTGCAGCTGTCTGGAGCAGGGAGTGAGATCACAAGCACGACCCGGAAAGGGCAGCCCCGGTCCGATTTGGGGGCCAGCCCCCGCAATCTGTCCCCCGCCCCCTGCTGCCCTGGAAGAGCGGGAGGTTATCATGACCCTGTCGCACGACGGCAGGGCAGAGGCATCTCCTGGCAGGACCCTCGCTGCTCCCACAGCCCAGGGACCCCTCTTCCCACCTGAATGCCACTTCCTGGCATCAGCCCGCACCGAGCCGCCCCCAGGAGCACACACGGGACTGAGCGGTGACGGTTCCTTGGTGAGGGCTGAGGCGCTAGCACCTCAGGGAGGGAACGCGCTGGAGCGGGACATGGGGCCCGCTCTGGCTCCACACCCTGCCCTGAGGGCCGCGGGAACCAGATTGTAATGTGGACTCCGCCACTTCACCAGACCCCGGGCCTGACCTCCAGGAACAGGTGCCGCGGGCTGCAGCTCTCCTCCCACAGTGATTAGGTTTGCGCCTGCGCTCTGCCAGCCCCGTGCCAGGCCTTGCACTGTCTCCAGCGGCACCTTCACAGACAGGCTGTCTTACCCGTGGCCACAGCACTGCAGGAACAGGACCAGGGGGTGACTCACTGTCTGGCCGGCTCCACGTCCTGCGTGCTGTCCTCTCCGGTGTTGCAGCTTCCCAGCCTCCTTGGGGGCTCACGTCTCAGTGGGACAGACAGGAAAACCGTGATCCTTGCCTAAAGTTACGGAGACCAGACAAGGAGAGACTGTGCTGAGAGATCCATCCTGAGTTGGGAGGGAATCCAGGAGGGCTTCTAGGAGGAGGTGACATTGGAGCCAGTCCTCAAGGGCTCAAGGGAGGTGGGCAGGAGCTGGCTTGTGGTGGGACATATATACCAGGCTTGGAGCGATACAAACTGTTTCCAGTGATGTCTTTGAGGGATTCCCCATCTAGTAGGGCTCTCTGTAGGGCCGCAGGGGGCAGATGAAATGCTGGCCCAAGCAGACCTGGGACGGAGCCCTGCATTCCGGAGAGAGGGGCTGCAGGTGCAGATGGAGCCTGCGCCTCAGAGGCTTTGCAAGCACAGGAAGCCGGGCCATGCTGGGAGGAGTGGGGAGAGGGAGGTGGCCAGCGTCCCCAGGTCAGTGAGCAGGCCCGAGGCAGGGCAGGCTGTGCCACTGGTGTATCAGCCACCGGACCTTCCAGGCCCAGCCTCCAGCACATCTCAGGAGGGTGTGTGTGGGCAGGCGGGCCCTGCCGCATGCCAGATTGAGCTCACCCAGGTGGCCGTAGTCAGCCGGCAGCTCAGCTGAGGCTGGTGGACCCAGATGAGCTGGGGCCCCAGCTGGGCCAGCTCCTCTCTGCTCTGCATGGCCTCCCCGCTCCACCAGGTCCAGCTGGGCAGCCCCCTGTCTCCTTCACAGAGGGGCTGTGCAAGGCCGGGTGGGGGGGGCAGTTAATCCCCACACGTGCAGCTCCCTTTGGGGTTGAACTTGAGGCATCTGCCTAAAGGTTGGAGAGTTTGGCAGAGCCCGGAGGGGGCGGTGTGAGGGAGGGGCGTGGAGGGGGTACAGTGGCCAGAGAAGGGGGCAGGACTAGTGAGCCTAGCAGCCAGAGGGGAGGGGGACCCGGCTCCAGGCAGCAGGGGGGGCACGGGGGGAACCCAGGGAGTGAGCTGGGCAGGCAGGAGCCCCCGGCAGTTACCCAGCCCCTGGTCAGCACCTTGCACCTGCCCGACCCGGGTCTGGAAGTACGGTCCTCCATGGGGCTCTCCAGGGGTCTGGGCCGGACCCTCAGACCGCGGGGCACCAGAGCTGCCCCGGCCCACTGACCCTGCACCCTTTGTTAGGCAGCCCACATTGGAGCTAGGAGAGCGAGCACCAGGCCCCAGGCCACTCTGTCAGCGGGGCCCTGGCTCCCCAAGTGCAGACACCCGGAGAGGGGCTGGGGATGGGTGACTGGCCCTGCCTCCCCACGTCCAGAGTGGCTGCTGGGGGCGGCTGAGCGTGGTGCCTCCGGAAGTGCCACCCCAGCCCCAGGTGGTCAACACACGCTCACTGCGCGCCCTGGGCGTCAAGGCCTACCTAGGGGCTGGGCCCGGACCACAGGAGGGAGTGACCAGTGCGGCCCAGCAAAGCACAGCGGGGGAGGGCGAGGGGGAGAGTGGGGAGGCCTCCCCATGACCAAAGGGGGTTCCAGAGGGAGGAGAAAGGAGAGTAAAGGACAGATAGGCCAGCGGGGCTGGAGGGCTGACGGAGTTCGGACTGGGTCGGATTTCAAGCAGAGGCTGACTTACTCTTTGAAAAAAAAACCTGCAGCTGAGGGTGTCCGGGGCGGTGGGCCCCCCTCCCGGCCGGACAAGACGCCGTTCTGACCGCACGAACTTCTCTTGCTCACAGGTTGCATATTCATCGAAGAGAACTTTTCTTTGAAATGCCCCAAACATAAGGTGGGTGACCGCGAGCCTCCCCTGGAGGGGCCCAGGCTGGAGAGGAGCCCCGGCGCGGGAACGCCGGCTCCGGGCGGACCAGGCGGGGGCAGATCAGCACGGGTGGGCCCCGGGCCACTTATAGAGCCCGCACGTGCGGGAGGCGGGGCCAGCCCGGGGCGGGGCGGGGCGGGGCGCGGGGACTGGCCTACGGGCAAAGCTGCAGGTGGGGCCTCGCTCTGGAGGAGCGGGCGGGGTCGGGGCCGAGGGGCGGGTCTGGAGGAGTTGCCTGCTCGGCAGGTGCCCCGCAGTCAGCAACTAGCCGCGCGTCTCTTCCCCGCAGAGGCTGCCATTGTAATCCACCCCCGGCCGGAGGAGCCGCCGGATCCCGCCCGCCCGCCAGCCCGCCCGCCCGCCGACGCCGCCGACGCCGAGGAGAGGAGCCGCCGGCGCAGCCCCCGCGCCTTCGCGCTGCTTCCGGCGCGGGTCCAGAGCCGATCCTTGATCCGGAACCCGGATCTTGGATCTGGCCTCCTCGGGCGGAAACTAGTGGTCCCCGGTCGGGAAGAAAACAGGTTCCGGATCCGTCTGCTCCCGGAACCGGACGGCACAGGGCCTTCTCGCCCCCATCCCCCGGCCAGGCTTGGAGAGGGGGAGCCCGCGGAGCGGCCAGACTCCTTGGAACACCCAGGCTCCGGCGTGGGTGGGAGGCCTTTAGCCTGGGGATACGCTTCTCCCCCTGGAAGTTTCCAGACGACGTGGCACACATTCTACGTGGGTCGGGTAGTGGCACGCAGCTGGGCACCCTGGGAGTGGGGTGGGGTCCGAAGAGGCCGAGGCTGGCTTCTCTCCAGGACGTGTCTCCTGGAACGAGGCTGGGGGCGGGGGGAGCCGAAGCCTGTCCGGCGCAGGAGGTGCCGGAGGCTGTGCGCCCTTCCTTCCCAGCCTTGGCCAAAACCTTCGTGCGGGTCGGGAGGGCCGGGGGCCTGGGGCCCGTGCTCAGGGGATGCGGGCTCCCCGGGCGTGGGCCGGACTGGCTCCCGCTGGCTTCTGCTCGTCTCCCTTCCAGTCCGCCCCGTCCCCGGAGCCCAGCCTGGGAGCGCAAAACTAAAAGTCGCGACCAGAGTGCACCCCCGGCAGACGCATGACCGACCCTCTGCACGACCACCGTCTCCGGGGGCCGCAGCGCCACTCGCACGGGAGCGGAGACAGCGCTAGATCCATGTACACACCTGTGTGCCCCTCTATATATATGTCACATAGAATGTATATATGTTGGGAACATGCTCGCTTCTCCCGTGTGTCGCCGCCGTGCGTCGTGTGCCCCTCAGCACGGGGCCCTTGCTGGGAAGGGGGCTCCGGCGCTGCCTCCTTCCCCAAGCAGCCACCACCGCCCGGGCCAGTGCCCGCCAGTTCGTCCGCCTGTCTGTCCGTGTCCTCAGCTCTGTCCACGCTTCGATAGGCCTGATGCAGCCCCAGCCCGGGGCCGCCCTAGAAACTTCCTGTACATATGACTGTAAAACGGTGAACGTGTGTATTATATCCGGCCTCGTTATATAGTGTATATATATGTATACATATACATATATATAATATATATGAAGACTGTAAATGTTAAGACGACTAGTGTTCTTATTAGTATATTGCTTCACACTGAAGATTGTGTGTATCGAGCTGTTTCTAAAAGATGTTTATTTTCCTTAAGAGTAAAAAAAAACAGTCATTGCATTCAGAAAAAAAAAAAGTCAATAAAGATACAACGATTGTTTTGGAATTCTGCAGCCCGTGGATTCTGACCAGATTCTGCTGGGAGAGGGGCCAGGCTCTGGGGGAGAGGTTGGAATGGAGGGGAGGGGAGGGGAGGGGAGGGCTCTGGGGACCTTACTGCAGGTACAGGAAAGAAGCCCTTGCTGCCCAGCCACACCCACGTGACCTCCGGGAAGGGGACAGGGGTCAGGCAGGTGAGACTGACACCCAGACACACAGGGAGACCCAGGTTGTAGCTCCTGCTGTCACAACAGATCCCCAAAGACATGGAGCTGTCCTCCCATGTCATCCCGGGACCTGAAGGGGGCAGAAGCTGGGAGAGGAGGCAAGGAGGCACAGCTGAGACCATACGGACCCTAAGGGTTAGGAGATGATATAGCCCAAACGTGCGGCCCCGTGATCAGTGGGACCCAAGTCAGCTGGAGGGAATAAAGCCGGGCCTCCCAAACCGAAGGGCAGGTAGGGATGGGAAGCATTTGCCTGGGTGCTGGGGGGACGGATGGCCCAAAGGATCCCCTCTGGTTAGCACACACACCCCTCCCCAAAGGAGCAAAACCCAGATTATAAATAAGTTCATTTTTTATTCTCTGTATAAAACTTCTCAACCTATGAAAATAAAGTTTGCAAAAGGCAAAGTAACACTTGGAACCTCAGAGGCCAGGAGGCTGGCGCACCACGATCTACACTATGCACAGGTCTCCCCAGATGGGAGGGAGGCGCCGGGGGCAGGGCCCTTCGGCTCAGTGAGACGCACCCCTCTTCCCTCTGGACGGAGAGGGAAAGCCCAGGATCGGCGGCGGCGCGCGTAACAGTTGACCCCCGGCGGCGGCCAGGCCCCGGCAATCCCCCGGCCGGCCACCAGGGGCCAGCACCATCCCGGCCGCCGCTCATCGAGGGCTGGAGCGGGCTGGGGAGGCCCTAAGGTCAAGTGCGGAAGTCCCCGAGGGTCTCCAGCCCTCCAGGGACAGTGCACTCCGTGGGCGAGCCTCGGACCCCGGGTCTCCGGCGCTGCCCTCGGCCGTCGAGACAGAAACAGGGGCGCTGGGGCTGGGCCGCCAGCGGGGGTCTAGCTGGAGGTTACGGTGGTCCCGCCGCCCAGGCGCATGAGCATCTGCTGGCAGTCATGCAGCAGCCGGCGGTCACCGAGCTTCTCGAGCGTGCGTGCCGCCTCGGCCAGCATGCCCACTCGCTGCCCAGGCGCCGACAGGAAGCCGGGCGGCAGGTAGCAGGAAGCCAGGAGCAACGCCTCCGCATGCTCCCGCCTCGTGGGCCGCGGCTCCAGCTCCGCCGCCGTGCCTGCACACATGCACAGTGGCATGTCAGGGGCGGGGCCGCGCCGGGGGTGGGGCTCGGATCATTGCCCCGCCCCCTGGACAACCGGCCCCGCCCCAGGCTAGTCAGCACCCGCCCCCACCCGCCCCCCTCGGTCTCGGAGGAGCACGGAGCCTCGCCCCTTCCGCGCCTGCCCCTGGAGCACAGACCGCGTACCCAGTCGCGTGTCCCACAAAGGACAGTTGTCCCCACTGACTCTCAGGTTAGGCCTCCCATCAGGAAGCCACCACCAAGTCCCTCGGCCTCTGTGTGTCTCACACACAGCCTCCCTCTGCAGCCTCCACCTGGCGTGTGGCCCTTCCCACCTGGGCCAGCTGTCCTTCTCACCTCCCTTGCCGCAGGGCCCGGCCCTCCTCCTCAGGCTGCGGTCCAGGAGCTGGTGTGTCCGCGCCGGGCTGGCCCCTGCCATCAGCCGGGCAGTGGCTTCATGCAGGAACACCTGGGCAGGAGAGGCCAGGAGAGGTTCCAGCCAGGCCCCCGCTCCCTCCCGACACCTCACATACATCCCCATTGCAAGCCAGAGCCCCGTGGGCACTCACCCTCCGCATGGCAGGCCGGAAACTCTGTGCCAGACGCCTCAGACCACTCAGGTCCCTCTGGAAGCCACGGAGCTCGAGGGCAGAGGCCTGGGCCCCACTGCCCGGGCCCGGTGAGGCCTGGGAGGGTGCCGGCGGCTTCTGCCGCTGCCACAGGCTGGTGCGCGCCCCAAGGAGCAGGTCACACAAGAGCAGCTGCATGACCTGGGGTGGTGGGCAGGGCAGGGGTCAGGGGGCTCTGGCTCTGGGAGGGAAGAGTGGGGGCCCATGGTGCCAGGGGCCGGCTCCGGGCTGCACTGCCGAGGCACTGCACCCGCCTCACACGTGCAATGCAACAGCAATGCACCGCGGGGCCGCCCGCTCTCCAGGCCCTGCCACACCGCTCACCCCAGCCGTCCTCCGGGGGTGGGGACACTGAGGCCAGAGGGGGGCAGCCACTCTCCCCTGGATCCAAACCTTAGCCCCCCAGTCCTGTACTGTTGGGCTGACCCTGCAGTCTTCTGCAGCCCAAGGGGGACCGTGCGGGGAGTGGAAAGGCCAAGGCCCCCAAGATCCGCCAGGCCCCTGGCCCCAGCCCTCACCTTGTCAATGGAGCTGCCGGCTGGTGTAACGGCCAGGCTGTCCTGAAGGTACCCACTGGCCTTCTCACACATGGCCAGGCTGGCCGGGCCAGACTCTGCCTTCCCACGGCCCAGCAGGGCCCGGGCAGCCTTGAAGGTGTGTAGAGCCGCCCTGGGCAGGGGTCTCCTGTTGGGGCCAAGGCAGACGTGTGACGGTCAGACCAGGCCTCAGGCCCTCGCCAAGCTTCCCCTGCCCTGGTTTTGGCTTCCCGGGAAAGAAATGATGGGACCCCAACCACACAGAACAAAGCTGGGGGTCGGGGTGGGGGCACGAGCACGCAGCCTGCGCTCACTCGGACTCCTGCAGGGCGCGGGGCAGGTGCTCCACCAGGGGATACAGCCGCTCGGCCGCCGCCTCATCCCGCCGGAGCCAGTGGGTCACCACAGCCGTCAGCGAGGCCCACCACTTGGCCACCGGGTCTGTGCCTGCAGGAAGCAGGGCCAGAGGGGTCCCTGAAACTTGGCCACACCACACCCAAGGCCGAGCTGCTGTGGCGCTGAGCCCAAGGGCGTCACGGGGCGGGGAGGCCTGGGGGCTCACCAGCGGTGGCAGCCATGCCGGAGCCGATGGAAAAGCTGCAGGCAGGAGCCCCGGCCACGTCAGAACAGCTGTTCAGCAGCTGCAGGTACCCGAGGGCATCGGAGAATTCCCTGTGGCAGGAGAGGACTGGCCGTCAGGACAGGTGGCAGGGGTCCTGAAGCGGACGGCCCTCCTCACCTGCCCCCACGGCACAGCCTGGCTTCCTGGCTCCTCAAAGCGCGGCCGGCCCCTGCCGGGCTCGTGGGGAAACTGAGGCCACGGTGACCCGGCTCTGGCCACCGACACGGGTCTCTGGACGTAGCCTCTCCCAAGCTCCACTGGCCGGGGGTGGGGGACCTGGCCCGCCGAGGCGCAGAGGGACACTCACCTGTCCCCATCGGCTGATCCGGGGCCGGGGCTGGGCTGGGCCAGGCAATGCAGTGCTCGCTCCAAGAGATGTTCACGGAACAGCTGAGCCACGTGGGCCAGGGGGTCCACTGTGGGGAGGAGAGGGTGAGTGGGGCGGGGGGGAAGGGCCCCACCTCCCCGCGCACAGGTGCTTCCCTGCACCTAGGACTCTTCCCTGGGCACGGGGGGGCCTGGCTCTGAGACGGATGAAAGCTGGGCGATAAATATTCTGCCTCCCCCACCCCGTGGACAGGATAACCTAGCTTGGGCACACGCCCCTCCTGACCTCCTCACAGCACAGCGGTGTTGCCTGGGAGCACCTCCCAAATCAACCACCTGCCCCCAAATCCCTCTTCCTGTTTGCCTCTGAAGAGCCCCAACTGAGACAGAGCCAGCCTGGCCTCCCTGTTCCTGCAGCCCCCGTGGCGACGATGGATGGTGGGGCAACAGACCAGGGTGGGCAGGGACAGCAGAGAGGCAGGGGACAGGGGACAGGCGCAGGGTGAGAAGGCACCTGGGTCCCCGGCCACGCTGTACAGGCTGTGCCGCAGAGCGCTGCACACGGCCCAGTCACCATCCACGAAGAAACGGTGGCCCGCAGGGTGGCAGAGCCACTGCATGGCAAGAGGCACTGAGCCGCTCTGTGCCAGGGAGGCCTGGCGGGCGCTGCTCAGGAAGAAGCGCTGTGGGCGAGAGGGGCAGGCTGTCACCCCAGACCCTGGGCTGAGACCCCAGAGGGCCTGGAGCCCACCCCATAACCAGCTGCCTCTCCCGGGCAGCCCTCAGCCCAGGGAGACCTGAGCCCCGTCTCCCACCAAGCCCACCACCTACTCACTGTCAGGAAATGCAAGGCCCGGGGGAGACTGGTCTTGACCCTGAGCGCGGTGGCCACATAGATCTCAGCCAGCGTGGCCACGGACATGGCCTCCCCCGCGCACTCGGCCAGGTTCAGGGCACTCAGTGCCAGGTTGGCGGCAGCCAGGTGCCCGCCCGAGTACTTCCCTGGAAAATGGGAGGGCATGAGGCTGGGCATGGCGCAGAGGTGGCGGGACGCCCTCAGGCCCAGCCCTCGCCCGCCATACCCATGGTGTGCAGCTGGTGCAGCTTGTGGTAGGTGAGGGCCGCGTCGCGGGCACTGGTGCGGGCGTCCACCTGCAGGGCACCATCCCTCCGCAGGCCCCCCGCCCGGCCTGCCAGCCAGCGGCCCACCCAGAGATGCTGCAGCAGGTGGCGGATGAGGCCCCAGAGCAGGCTGCAGGCCAGGTCCAGGTGGGAGGTGGGCAGGGGTCGGCCCAGGGCCCGCAGGGCCAGCCACAGCTGCTGGGCAGCCTGGGCGAAGTCCCCCTGCGGAGGAAGGTTTTCCAGGTGAGAAAGGCGGGGTCAGAGCATCCCCGGCACGTGCCACCCCTCGAGCCCCGGAGAGCCCTCCATCTTGGGCTCCCCGCCACGACCCCACCAACCCCAGCAGTGCCGGCTGGGCCCCCGGGGCTCCGTGGGGGTCTGAGGGGTAGACAGGAGTGGAGAGAACAGGGGAGATTCACGGTGTGCCCGGCACCTTCCCAGGTGCTGCTGAGGGTCCCAGCCCTGCCCGCCCTCCACACCCCCGGGGTCCGGCCGCTTACCCGGGCCAGGTCCAGGTCGGCCTGCTTGCGATGCCTCCAGAAGTGCACGGCGGGGCCCGAGTGGGGCCGCGTGACCGGCTCTCCGTAGACAAAGAGCAGCGCCAAGGAGGACAGCACCAGCAGCCCGTTCATCAGCCAGACCAGTGGGGGCAGCAGCCACGGGGCCCAGCCAAGGCCATCTGGGGGCAGACACAGGCTGGGGACATGCCACCCGGGAAGTCCAGAGCCCCAAGCCCACAGGCCCGGGATCTACGTCCCCAAGAGTCCCCCCTCGCACTGCCCAGGCTGGCCTGTCCTACCTCTGCCCTCAGCACCCAGCATGCTGCGCCCAGGACCGTGGTAGACACTGGTGGCATCGGAGGGGCCAGCGGGAACCCGGCTGCCCAGCAGGGAGGCCAAGGGGTTGCAGGAGACACAGAAGAAGACAAGCACACACAGGGCCAGGCGGGAGCGGTCCAGCATGCCCCGGCTGTGGGGGGGCGGCAGCTGCTCTGGCTTCACCTGGCGGGGTGGGTGGGGCAGTGAGAACGGGGTGAGCACAGCCCAGAGAGCTCAGCTCAGAGGAGGAGGGATCAGCTCTGCCCCCAGCCTTACTGCGGGACCCCCGCCCAGCTCCCCGTCTCTAAAACGGGAGGTAGGACACGCCCCAGTCCCGGAACTCAGAGGATGTTGCTGGATGACAGGGAGGGGGCAACGACGTGCAACCCAACCTGGCTGTCCTCAAAGACTGGGCTGTCAGGCTCCGAGTCACTGCCACTGCCACCACTGCTACTGCCCCTGCTGCCAAGGGACAGTGGGCTGCTCTGGAAGGGCGAGCCGGCGTCCGAGGGTGGCGGGCTCAGGGTGTCCACCACCTCTGGCTTCTCGCCCTCCATGGGCACGTCTGTGTGGCCTCCACTGCTGCAGGCTGACACCAGGTCCTTCAGAGATTCTGTGGGCCAGAGAGGAGCTGGGCTGGGGTGAGGGCTACACACCCTACCTCGCCCCAAATCGGAGCTGAGGGCCACGGGAAGGCCGACGAGAGGGTGAAGGGCCCTCGCAGGGTGAGCATGCGTGGAGGGGAGGAAAGGACTCACTGCTTTTGTGGGCAGCGGTGCGCAGATTCAGGTTCTCCTGCTTGAGTCTCTGGTTGCCCTGCTGAAGGAAGCGGATGTAGTCGATGGCCTTGCGCAAGACAGCAGATTTATTCAGCTGCAGGCGGTAGGGAGGAGACACAGCACAGGTGGCCGGTCAGGCCAGACAAGTGGGCGGCTAAGCGCAAGGGGTGGGACTGCTCTGCTACACAGTTGCCTCAGGGCCTTTGCACCTGCTGTTCCTTCTACGTGGAATGTTCCTCCCTAGTAGAACCCTCCTCCCAAGTAAAATGCATACAACAGCTTATGGCTAACCGCTGTCACCATCGTTCCACCTCCATGCCTTGCCCCCTCGCCTCCTCCAGGCCTCTGTTCACATATGGCATCACCTTTGCGAGGCCTCCCCGACCACCCGATTCAGATCTGCGACTCCCACCGTCCCTCTTCCCGCCCCGTTTTCTTTCATGCCACCTGGCAAACCCCAGCAGAGATCTGTCCTGTCTGCTGGCGCCTCGACACCCCGCCAGCAAACCCCAACACGGATCTGTCCTGTCTGCTGGCGCCCCGACACCCCGCCAGCAAACCCCAACACGGATCTGTCCTGTCTGCCGGCACCCCGACACCCCGCCAGAACGTCAGCTGCTCAACAGAACAGCAGTCTGTCTGTTCACTGCTGAATCCCCAACACCTAAAAGAGCCCCCACCGCAAGGGGCCTCCATGAAGCTCAGCTAAACAGCCGCCAAGCCCGAGGAGTCTGGAGCCCCAGGCCTGTCTGTCCAGGCTCAGCCCCATCCTCCTCTTCCCCCCAGGTGCCTCCTCTTCCCCTCAGGTGCCTCCTTCCCCAGGGCCACCCCATCGGGGCCTCTGCCCGCACCTTGGCCTCTGTGCCCACCACCAGGTCCTTGAGCTCGACGATCTTGTCATTGATGGAAGAGCGGTAGCGTTTCTCAATGGCATTGTGGGCCGTACGCTTCTCACCTCGGCTCTGGGCCGAGCCCGGGGCCTTGCCGCCAGCTGCCAGCCGGTTGATGGGCAGCTTGTCAGCATCCACTACCAGCGGCACAGTCGCCAGGATGGTTCCGCCACTCACCAGGGTCTGTGGGGCCAGGCACGGTTAGCAGATGGACATGCATGCATACAACACCCCCGCCCCCCTGCCCTGCCCAAGCCGCCCACCTGCAAGGGCGCTGCCTGCACAGCCATGCCAGGGGCCAGGGAGCTGATGCCTGCCGCCTTCATGGGGGCTCCCACGTCTGTTTTCACAGTCGTCAGGAGCAGCGAGTCTGCCTTGATGAAGTGGGGCTGCAGCAGGACCTAAGGACGGGAGGGGGCTCAGCTGTGGGCTGTGGGTCGGGGCCACCACCTCCCTGAGGCCGGGCCAGACCCTCTCACCGGGACCTGCTGGACCTGTGAGGTCACAGTGGTTGTTCCAGGGGCCACCGTCGGGGTGGCTGTGGCCGTCAACAGCTGCTGGGGAGCCGCACTCTGGACCTGGTTGTGCAAGGAGACGGGCGGGACCCCTGGAAGGGCAGCCAGTGGCAGGCCAGGCAGCGACTGCGCAGTGCTCCCCGGGGGGGTCCCTGCAGAGATAAAGGCAGGAGCTGCGGACACAGGCTGCCCTAACCCACTTCCAACCCGCCCGCAGGTACTTATCACCCTGTGACCTTGAATGAGTCGTTACCCTCATGGCCTCAGGTTACTATCGGGACAGTCCCTGCCTGGGGCTCTGATGCAAGCCTGCTCGCTTCCCAGCCCAGCACCTATCTGCTGCGGATGCTGGGAGGCTGGGAAGCGGTGCTTCCTGAGAGCTGCTGGTGACGGGAGCACCTCCAGCAGCACAGCAGGGACCCGACTTCTAGAGCCTGCAAATTCCTCTACTGAGACCACAACAGACCCTCCTCCTGGTGCTCCTCCCTCCACACGCCCCCCTTACCTGTGGAGAAGCCTCCAGGAGGGCTGGGATAGCCCAACACAGGGGCAGAGCTGAACTGCGGTGGGGCTGGGGCCGGAAGCCGCTGGGGCAGGAGGGCCCCCGGCAGCGGCTGGAGGGTGGTCTGGGGTGCTGGTTCCTCTTTGATAGCAGGCCCCGCGGAGAAGGCAGGCACGGAAGGGTACATCTTCAGGGGGGTGGGTGCAGGCTGGGGAGGGGACAAGGGTGGGGTTGTCGCCTTGGTCCCCCCCAGGAAGCCTTCGAGTGGGGAGCTCATCGTGGAAGGAGGTGGGGACAGGCTGCCTGGGGTGCTGGCATATGGACTGGCAGGCTCTGTGCCCCCTGCTCCGCCCCCAGCGTAGGGCGGGTCGAACAGGCCCGGGAAGTCGCTGTCTTGGTTGTTGATGAGCTGAAGCATGTCTGCGGTAAGGAGGAGAAGCTGTGTGAGCAACAGGGGGCAGGGGTCACGATTTGCACGCTCCCCCCACCCCCACCCCACAGCGTACCTGTGGGACCAGCGCCACGGAAACAGAAAGCCACCCCCAGGAGCCCCCACTCACAGACACCTGTGACATCTGGAGCTCTGCCAGGTGCGTCAAACGGCCTTGCAACACCGGACGAGCCCAGCGCCCCCCTGAGGCCCACCGACCTGCCCCAGGACCAGGCGAAGGCAGAACTGAGGCCTGGGCCCACCACTCCCGACTTCAGAGCTGCCTTCGCCAGCCCACTCCTCTGTGGGACAGACCGAGGCTTCAGGCAGAGCCAGCCGCTGGCCAAGTGTGTGCCAACCAGAGTATCCCTGTGTGTTCTGGGCACAAGCCCAGACCCCGTCTGCAGCCAAGCAGCCTCGGGACCGGCCATTCAGGCTTCAGTCTCCCCTCGACAAAAGCAAACGCCGTCTGTCCTCTTTCCTCCTCACACAGACTGGACACACTGCCTGCCGCGGCCCCAGCCTGGCCACAGGCCCTCTTCCCCAGCTGGCGATCAGCAGCCTGGCTGGGTCAGCCTAAGGCCCTCTAACCCACTGGGGGAGCCACCCACTGGGTCAGAGTGCTCTGCAGGATCCATGTGCAAACCCTGGGAGCCCGAGGTGTACCCCCGGTCCCCAGCCTGCTAGGGCTTCCTCTCACTGGGCCTCGGTTTCCTCATCTGCACAAGACAGACGAGACCCTTTGTGGCAGGATGGCCGCACGGAGGGGAGAGTCAACGTCGCCTGAGTCCCTCCTACTGACAGGTGCCAGGCAGGAAAGTGACTGCAGGGGACCCTCCCTACGGCCTCCAGGAGAGCGAGACGGGGGTGCCAGGCTCAGCCTCCTGGTCCTCAAACAGAAACACGGGGCAGGCCCTCCAGGTTTGCGCAGGTCATGGGGCATAGAGACCTTTCACCTTCAGGACCTGCTCGCTCCCCAGGCTTCATGAGCCCCTCTGACAGATGGGGAAACTGAGGGCCAGAAAGAAAAACTGGCTGAACCCAGGGGGCCACTGTCTAGCAAGCTCAAGAAGCCCTCCAAACTAGGAGCCCCAGGAGACGGAAGGACAACCGGCCCTCCTCCCTGCGGAGCAGAGGATGTGGGAAGGCCACCCTCTCACGCCAGACGTGGGGGTGGGGGTGACTACCGAGGTGGGGGGGGTCCGCCAGCTCCCCTGAGAGCCGGGAGCGCGTATACCTCCCCTCAGGGCACCGGGGATGAGGACCCCGCGATGCAGATGGAAACTGTAATGAAGAGGTCGGGTCCTCCAAAAAATACCTTCGAACGTGCAGTCCATGGCTCCGCGGCCTGCGCCCGCCGCCCTTCGGGGGGTCCAGGCGGCTGGCCTGCCGGTGTCCGCGCGCTGACTTCACCTGCGTGGCCGGCCGCGCTTTAAAGCTGCCGAGCGCGCCGCCGGTCCCGCCCCCGCTGGCTCCGCCCCCGCCGAATGGCCACGCCCCACCGAATGGCCACGCCCTCCCGGGGCCGCGGCCCGGGCATGGGGTGAGCGCGCGCGGCCAATCAGCGGCCGCGCCACCGCCTCCTGGGGCCCCGCCCCACCCCCGCGGCGCGCGGCTCGGTTTGAGCCCCGCAGGGCCGGATGGGGCCGGGGTTACTCGCGGACGCCGTCCCTCAACCCGCTCGGCGCCGACGTCCGCAGGGGTTACTGGCAATCACGTCCCCTGCTCCCACCACCTCCGAGAGCGCGGCGGAGCGGGCGTGGGGCCGGCCAGGGGTGCCCCAACTCCGCATCCAAGCCTCTGCCGCACCCAACCGCATGGACCCCTGACAACAGGTCACTGTTGGGAAACTGAGGAAGGGAAACCCCTACCCCAAAGTGCCCAGCCAGTAACAACCAGAGCTGACGCCCCACACAGACATCCCTTTGCAGAGAGGCCTGGGTCTGGGATGGGGGTCGGTGAAGGTCTCACCCCCTCCCCCACCCGACTAGCAGTCTCTGGGTGAAGCCTGATTCACTCACTTATTCACTGTTGGGCCGGGGAGTCCAAGAGGCAGCCCAATCCCTGGGACAGAAGGTGAGGAAGTCGTAGGGTGACAGGCTCTGGGGGTCTTTGGAGGGGTACCTGGGCCTATCTCCCCTTCTGGGTAAGGTCAGAGTTCCACACACACACATGAACATAGCCTGGCCAGCAGCCCAGGTTGCCAGCTCCGGCTTTTGTGGCCAAGCAGACCCCGGGCTCAGGCCAGCCTCCCAACTGTGGCCAGGCCCACCCCGGTACCCTCTCCTGGTCTCCTGCAGCCTCCGAGGGTGTTGGGGTACTGGAGAACCCCCGGCCCGGATGGCCCTCCCTCTCCAGGAGGCTAGCCGAGGTAACGCCCCCCCATCCTCCTTTGTCCGGGTCCTTCCATGGCCTTGCAGGGGGTGCCAAGGGCAACAGAATTCTCTAGCATCCTCAGCTCCGTCTCTCCTCAGCCGGTGGCTCTCACACCCTCCCTCACCCCCAAAAAACAAACAAGACACTGCTGTTGGGAAGGCTCCTCCCTCACCTCAGTACCTTGAGACTGGAAGACACCGAGGCCTGAATTCCAAGGCCCACACGCAGACACTCGCCTGCGACTCCGAAGGGCCAGGGCCAGGGCCGACCGCCCCGAGGGGTCCAGTCCTCCCAGCTCCTGACCCATCCTTCTGCCCTTCTCCCTTCTCACTCCCCTTCTCTGAGCCTTCACTCCTAGCCTCGGAGTAGGGGATTCCAGGAGGCAAGAGAGGTCCCCAGCGTGCACAATTTAAGGAAGTTTAAGAAAGCGCCCCCGCAGCGGGTCTGAAAGGCTGGCCCCTCCTTGGGTGAGCTGAGCACTGGGCTTCCCGCATGAGGGAAGACTCAAGGCCCACGTGGCTTCTGCATGCACTGTCTGCACACTGCACATCGGGAGACCGGAGGCTCGGGCTCGGCCTCAGTGGGCCCACCTGCCGGCCCCCAAGCCTGGCTCCTTTTGCTCTCCTTCCTCCTAGCCTGCCCTGATCCGATCAGGACCCAACAGGAAACCTGAAACCTCCTCCCCCCTCCCTGGCTTGCCTTCAAACCTCCCTCTGGAGGCAGATGTGGGGCAGCCTTTTATTCTCCTGCGTGTTTATTCGGTGAGGCCATGATGCAAATCCTGGAGGGGCCCTGCACCACGAACCTACAGGAGCCCAGCTCTGACCGTCACGGGAGCCTCCGGCCCATCCAAACTGCACGAGGCCTTGCACCCTGAAAAAACCCTGCTTGCACGCTTCCTGGGACAGGGAGCTCACCACCTCCCCTACACAGCCTGGCCCACGAAGCCCAGATCTGCTTCTGTGGCAATACCTACTGCCCTTTCCTAAGTGTCTACTAAGTGTACCAGGCACTAGGGTGCTGGAACACAGCACGAAGACGTCCCTCGTGGAGCTTCTGTTCCATCTGTAACCAACGGTCTGCAAATCCAGGGAGGAACAGGGGTATGGGTGGTGATGAGCACCATGAACACACGGAGGCGGTCAGGGCAGGCCTCTCTGAGGAGGTGACAGCAAGACAGCGAGGAGGCCGGTGTGGCTGGAGCAGAGGGAGTCAAGGGGGTGGGGGTCAGGGAGACAGTCAAGAGCTGGAGTTCCAACCCATGTTCGTCTCTCACCTGAGCCAAGGAGAACCGTTTCTTAGGGAACAGGCAGGAAAGGGATTTGCAAGCAGGTCACAAAGTCTGCACAGCTGTGAAGAATGGCAAACGGTGCAAAGCAGCAGCCCCGTCCCAGCTCCGCCTGCTCGATGGAGGGCGCAGGGCAGTGGTGGGGAGGGGGGCTGCACCCTGCCTGCCACCCACCCTGCTGCTCTCTGAGGAGCCCGGTTGGCAGGCTCACATGTCCACAGCCGGTGAGTGTGCAGCAGGGGCACAGGCTGCCCTTTGTGTGCGCAGGGCTGCCCGGGGGTGCAAGTGGGTGCCGGCTCTTCCTGGAGTGGGACGGGCCCGGGGCTGGAGCCCCAGGGGAAGCTGGGCGTGAGCCCTCTAGACGGACGAGGTCACTAAGGCTCAGAGGGAAGCCACAGGCCCCAGGTCCCCTGGCTGCCAAGTGGACAATCTGGGACGCAAACCCAGGCCTGCCAACCCCCAAGCCCACAGCCCTTAGCCCAGCCTGCCAGGGGCAGGTGTGAGCCCCAGGGCCAGCCTGGCTCTGTCCCACCTCGCTGCCACCACTCACCCCAGGTCAGGACGTGTGTGCCGCGTGGGACACGGAGGCGAGGCAGCGCGAAGGTGCAAGGAGGAGCCCCAGCACCACCTCCGCTGCGAGGCCTTCCTAACTGCCCTTAGAGGAGCCCCTAGGGCGGGGTCAAGGCCTGAGCCAGCTGGGACACGCAATCACTCAGCACGGGGCTGAGCCAGAGGAGACCAGATCGAGGGGCGTGTGCACTGCCAGCCCCACCCCTGCTGGTCCCTGGCTGTCTGAGTCCGGTGAGCCTCACTCTCCTTGTCTGCTTTCAGAAGGCTGTGCGCTGGCCCAGCCCGTTCCCTCTGCCCCAAAGGCCCTTCCCACTATCCTGTGTCCACCTGCAAACTCCTCCTCCTCTCAAAACCTGCTCTGAGGTCACCACCTCGCACTCTTCTCTCATCAGTGCCGCTCCACATGCCGCTCCCAGTTACATGGACCAAGTGACCCTGAGCACGGCCACTGGACAGATTGGCCAGCACCAATTCCAACATCCTGTCCTGGGGTAGAGGCTCCTTCCAGCAGCTGGGAAACAACCCATGGGCCTGACGCAGCGGCAATGCAGGAGGCGGTCCCGTCCTGCTGAACAACGTTCCAGTCTAAATAGTGCTATCCACTCCTTTACATTAATTATATTTCCCCCTTCGCGGTAGCTTCACTGCAGCTGTTTTAAACCTGCAGTGGGTGTGTTGTTTCAAAGGCAGCGTGCTGCTTCAGAGCTGCCAGGCTGCTTTCTGGAAGGATAACCCGTCTGCACTCTCCCCTGTGATGCTTCCCATTTCCTCGGAGCAGCCCCAGCACTGGGCTTTGTCGTTTTACCTACTTTTGGTCGCTTTCCTTAGTCCCCACAACTGTGTGACTGGAATCTCCCAAGTGCTTCAGTTTGCATCCCCAAGGCTGCCTGGAGGTGCTCTGCCCAGCAAAGCATCAACTATGGCTGGAGACTCGGAAACACCTGCTGTGCTCTGGCCCTCCTCCGCCAGCTAGAAATGGTCTCCAACAGGTGCTTGGCCTGGGAAGCAAGCACCGCAGGGCCTGGCCTTCCTGCTGCTGCTAACCCCCTCGGCTGCCGTACAGGCTGGGCAGCTGGGGGGCAGTGGAGGCGTCTGCTCCTTGTCTACACACTGGGTGAAGAGGTGACCATGGCATTTCTGAGGCCCTCCCCTCTCCCAACACGTGCAGATGGGCAGCCCCACTCAGGTCCCGGGGTCAAAGGGCACATCCACAGGGCCTGCGGCTGGCAAGACACAAGGACAGAGACGCTCCCTCTGGCCGGCGCAGTCATTCTCACCTGGCCTGTGCTTATCAGCTGGGCAAAGTTCAGATCCCAGGCCCCTGCCTGGGGCTGACCAGGTCACTCAGGATGTTTGTGTCCAGTGACCAACGGGAAAGAGGGAGCTCCCGGCACGCTCCTCTCCGTGCCCCTCAGAGGCACGAGGGCTGGAACCACCCCCATCTACAGCCTCACCCCCTGCTTTCCAGGGGAGCCGCTGCAGCCGAGAGGGCAGCAGATGGCCACGCTGGGGGGTGCCTTCTGCTTCCGGTCACCAGGCCGGGTACCAAAGGCAGGAAGAGGGATGGAGAGCGGGTCGTGTCTGGTGGAAGAGGCCTCTCCCAGGCTCTGCCGTGGGGACGAGGCGGGGGCACCGCACGGGGGCAGAACATGGCAGCGGCGTGGGGGCCTGAGGGGTGGGACCTGGAGGGACGGGAATCATCACGGAGGGCAGGCTTGGCCCACCGTACAGGTCTCGAACGCCATGCTGGGACAAGGGGACTTAGCTCGGGGCACTGGGGAGCCATGGTTGTTAGGGAGCTGAGGAGGTGCGCGCCGGGGCCAGGAGCTGGGCTGTAAGCCACCGTGAGCTTGTTTCCTAAGGAGGGCCCGTGCTTGGTGGGGCCAGGCAGACAACTGGGCATGAGAGACCGTGGGGAGAGGCCTGGGGGCAGGGTGGCCCCCGTGTGTCCTCTCCACCAGGCTGGCCTGGACCCCAGGAGGCCTGGCCCATGCAGTTGATTCAGGTACTGGGCGGAGTGGTGGGCAAGATGCCGTAAGGCAGACACCTGGGGTGCGAAGACAGAGTGAACTTGGGGAGCCCAGCCAGAGATGACTACAGGCTGTGCGCGGGAGCCCCAGGCGCACCCGCGGGAGATGCGCGGGCCCCGACAAGCAGTCATCTCCACTGCCTCTTCTGCACTAAGCACACGTTCCAGGCCTGGTGAATTAACCAGCAGGGAGGTGAGGACTGCCCCGGAACCCACAACGATCCCAACGCTCGCGCGGGACAGCTCTCACGTGCCCTCTGCCCACGGCCACAAAGGACCCCAAAGCAAGAACCACAAGAGGAGGCCGGGAGCAGACTGACTCACCAGGAGCCACGGCGCACTGTGGCGGGGGCAGTGCCTTCGGCACAGAACCTGAGACTCCTGGTGAGAGCGCCACGCCAAGAGCTGGTCACACGACAGAGTCTGGTCGAGGCAGATGCCCGGCTGGGCGGGGCGCAAGGCCGGTCCTCAGTCTCATGAGTCAAAGGCTCTCGCCTGGGATGGGGAGGTGGCTGTGTGACCTATGACCCCTCCCCGACCCCCAGCATACCTCCATGTGGAGTAGCCTCCTGGGTCCCCTGCTCTATTGCCCACCCCCCCACACACATGCACACACTTTTAGGAGCCCAGCGGTTAAGAGCTTGGGCTCTGGAGCCCACAGCTTGGGTTTGAATTCTGGCTCTGCCATGCTCTGGCTGTGTGACCTGGGACAAGTCACTTAACCTCTCTGTGCCTCAAGGCCCTCATTGGGGCTGTTGGGAGGACTCAGTGGTCAGCACAGTGCCTGGCATACAGTAAGTGCTGAATGAGTCTTCTCTACTCGTTCTGTGATCATCCACTCCAACAGCTAGAGGGAACTTCCCGCACAGAACCCAAGCATGGCATTGCCCTGCCCCAACCCCTCCCCCAAGACTCCCCACTGCCTCTGGGATCCAGTCCAGCTCCCCATCCTGGACTCGAGGGCTGCCTGGCCCTCCTCTCAACCCTCGTTCCTCTCAGGGGACCTGGCGACTCTTGGGCCCTGCCAGCTGGGTTCATCTGCAAGGCTGCAGTAAGGCAGGAGTGGGTGTCCGTTTTGCTAACCCCAGAGTGGCCACAGGCACCATGGACGTGTCTATCCAGGTTGTGGGAGGTTTGGGTCCTGTGCTCTTGGCCTGTTTCCCCATCAGCCAAGTGCAACACAGCAACCTCGGAGGCAACTCAGGGCGGCTGGGATTTGCTGTCTGCACAGTGGGCAACAGCCTCCTAACTGGCCCCTGCTTCAGCGTCTCCCCCAACCCCTTCTCTGTAGAACAATCAGAGCGGTGCTTCCACAGGTGTAAGCGAGCCGGCGCAGCTGCTCCCTCCTTTCCCTGCCGACAAGGGTCCTCGGTCTGCCAACCTGCCCAGCCTCACCTGTGAATCTCCAACTCCTCGCCGTGCCCTCTGCGGCGAAGACATCCTTCCCGGCGGGTCCTGGGGCTGACTTTCAGGTCTCACCCCACCGCTCTACCGGAAGCTGTCGCCCTGCCCCGGCTCGACCACAAGGTGTAACTAAATATCCGTTTGTGGGTTTCCTTGGCGATTTTTGTGCTTCCAAGAAAAGGGGAGCCCAGGTCTGTCTGTGAACCCCTGGTGCCTAGGACGGGGCCTAGTAGATGCTCAGTAAATGTGTGCCGAACCGATGCCCGGCGCCGGCTAGGAGAACCGGACCCTGGGGGGCAGGGGCTGGAGGCGCCCGCGCGCCTGCGCAAGAGCTCCTGCGCCGAGCTGAACTCTCGGGCCGGAGGGAATGACCGAGAATAACCTCCCGCTGACGTCAAGGCCGGAGCGGGGGCGGGGCCTCGGCGATGCCCGGGTCCCAGGCTCTCGCCGCAGCCGCCTAGGGGCTGAGGACTCACTGGCCGCGGGGGGCGGACCGGGACGCCCAGAGGCGCACGTGCCCAGCGCCGAGCCTCCAAGGACCCGGAGCGGCGTGAACAGCCAGGGCGGGCGCGGGAGGCTCCGCGCGGACAGGACAGCGAGGCCCGCAGCGCTCGGCGCAGAGACGCGGGGCGCCCCGCGCGCCCCGCACGGAGCCAGCGCCAGCGCCGCGCCCCGCCCCGCTCCGCGCCCCCCGCCGCCCCGGAAGACAAAGGCCGGCGCCTCCTGCGCGCCCCACTCGCGCGGAGCCCAGTGGCCCTGACGCACCTTCGATGTCGGTCAGCAGCGCCGCGTCCAGCTCGCTCGGCTCAGCCAGCGCCTGCTCCAAGGCCGCTTCGCTGAAGTGTGGCTCGTCCATGGCGCAGTCGCCTCCTCCCGGCGGCCCGCTCGGCCCGCCGGCGCTCCGCGAGTTCGCGTCACGCCCTGGCCTCAGTGGGGCTCGGCGCCCGCGAAAAGTTCCTCGGCAACTGGGCTCCCCGGCGGCGGCTCTGCGGGGTGGGCGGGGGCGGGGAGGAGCCTTGCGGGGAGCCCCGCCCCCGGTGGACGGTCCCGCCCCACCTGGAGAGCGCGGGGCCGGCTCGGGTCTGGCCTGCACACCTACCCGGCCGCCCCTCCATCCAAGTGACGACTGCTGCGGGGCTTCGGCAGGCCCTGGCCTCTCCAGCACCAAGCAAGGGGGCCGAGTGGAAGCCCCGGACTGGGTCCGTCTCAGAGGTCTCTGGACTTGGGGAGGGAGGTGACCCGACAAACATTGTTCCGAGAGTTGGGTCTTTAGGAGACAGACCCGTCCAAGACCTGCTGTGTGGCCTCGGGCCAGGCAGCGGGCCCCACTCTGTGCCTCATTTACCTCAGCTGCAACGGGACTTGATGATGCCTCCGCATAGGTGGCCCGGACGTTAGTGACCATGGCTGGCTGGGCCTGTGAGATGAGCCTGACCTTCCTCAGTGTCCAGATCAGATGGGCCTCCTGAAGAGCCTGGAAGAGGCTGGAATTTCCCACCCTGACTTAATTTGGTTTGCTCCCAGATGCAGCTGTGGGAATGACAGAAGGGTCGGCCTCCGCACCCAGGAGGACAGGAAGAGCCACAGAGTTCAAGAGCTAACCTGCACAAGGCCACACAGCTACTTGGGGCAGCAACAGGGCTGGGCCCCAAGGCCATCTGACTCCCATCTCCCATCCAGCTGATCCTAGGGAGAGACTCACATCTCGGTATCTGTCCCTAGGAGCAGCTAGGATGAAGGAGCAGACTGTGCCTTAGACCTGGGCCACCTTGCCCTGGATCATGACAGGCTGGGGCCAGGTCAGAGGAGGCAGCTAGGCTGGGGAGAGGGCTGGACCCTGGACCCTGCGTCCTGTGGATTGGGGGCAGAGATAGGTGGCAAGGGAGGGGTCTAATGAGGTGGATTGAGATAAACCAGAACTAACATCAGGTACTGAAAGTGGGAAAGTAGTGAGCTCCCTGTCCCTGGAGGTATGCAAGCAGAGAGGCACCCTTGGTAGGGGCAGCCAAGGAGACTTATCAAAGGCCTGGATTCCCAGGCCTCCCTAGCCCCCTGCCTCAGTGGATCCAGCCATCCCGAGTACTGCTTTGCTCAGGCTCCAGATATAGCCTGTCTGGCCACACCCTCTGACAGAGTGAAATTAGTGGCGCACTTTGGAAGGGGGTTGCCCAGGCCAAGAGAGCCCTTGGAGGCCCAAGTCCCTGAGGCTCAGCCCGGACACGCAGGGCTCTTTGTTCCCCTCCCGGAAGTGGCTGCTGTGGAAAATTACCCAGAACAGGGGTGGCCAGGGCCCGGGGGCCTCCAAACCACATCTGTTCCCCAAGTGGCCCTGCTCAAGGACCCCCCCCCACTCAGGGCCTGGCCCTCCGGATGAACTTCTGCTGGGGAACAGAGGGATCCCCTTTCTCAGCCCCCTGCATCCTGACGCCCTAGACCCCTCCACCCTCCAAGTAGGAGCCAAGCACCCAGGGGACCTTGGGAATCTGGTGGCTTCCCTGAAAATTCCAACAGCTCCTCCCGGGGAGAGGAGGGGGGGCTAAGTGAAGCCTGAAGACCACCTTCTCAGAGTCAGGAAGCAGGTCCGGATTTTTGCCCACTTGCTGTGTGACCTGGAACCATTTACTTCACCTTTCTGAGTCTCTGTAAAATAAAAACACCCCTTCCTGCTGTGGGAAGGTGTGTTGGAGTCACGGTCACGACAGACCTGCCTGACTGTCCTTTAGACGCGTTCACCGCATATGTAAAGAGCACCCTCAGTCAATATGCACACAGAACTGCAGCAGCTCAGGAGAGAAGGTGAGGCAAGGCCCACGGAGACCTGCAGCCTGGACTCGAGCCGCCAGTTGCAGTGAAGCCTGGCTGAAGCCTCCTGTAGGGCCCAGTCGTGGGAGGGGGTAAGGATCTGCCACCAAAGAGACCACACTTCGCTGCGCAGCCTGAGACCAGCCGGGCAAGCGTCCAGGGGAGGGCTGGGAAAGCAGGCTGGGGCTGCGGCTCTTCGGGGAACCTGCTCCTCTGCGAGCCCCTACCCCGACCCTCCTGGGGGCTCTGCGTTCGCACCGCGCCGCATGCCGGGGCTGCGCGCGTCCGCGTTAACCCCTTACTCCCCGGTAGGACGGCATCCCATTTCACAGGTGAGGAGAGCGAGGCCGCGGGGACGCGCGCCGGGAGCGGCGGGGGCGCCGGCCGGACGAGCCCCGCCCCGGCCCGCGGAGCAGCCAATGGGCGCGCGGCCTCGGGTGGGGTGACGCGGCGTCAGCGCCCGGCTCCCGGCGGCCGGGTCACGTGCGCCGCCTGACCGACCCGGGCTCCCCGCCCCGCCCTGTGGCCCGGCCCGGCCCAGAGCCGGCGTCCCGCCCGGTCCCCGGTCCGCGGCCCACCCAGCCCCGTGTGCCAGCTGTGAGGCCGGGCTCACTTCTGCCCCGGGCGTCCGAGAGGCGCAGGGGCATCTTCTGTGGGTTCAGAGCCGTTTGGGCAGGTGTCCAGCGCGGGCAGGGCCAAGCCATGTCCTCGCTGCCCGAGCTCAGGGATGGGTGGCGGGGCAGGCACGGGAGTTGCCAGGGCTGCCGGCACTGGGCGTAGCTTCACAGGCTACTGAGACCCCTCCCCACTCCTGGAGCCCCCTTGCCACCCACCTGCCCGTTTGTCCTTCATTCTGCAGCAGCCGAGCTGGGACCTGCCCAGCCGTGGCCGAGGCTGCACAGAGCCAGCAGGGAGCCTTGGGTTCCCCCCACCCCCGCATCAGACAAAATGGAACCACATGGCCCTTGACATGGATGATTCTGGTCCTAGATGACCTTGTGTTCTCATGCCAGCTTGCCCTCTACTGTGCGCTGTGCAAGTCATTTCTAGCTCTCTCTGAGCCTCTCTGGCAGTAAACCCTCCACAGAAGAGCTGCTTGGACCCCGAGGTCTGCAGCACAGTGAGGGGTGGGCCTTACAGACATGGAGAGTGAGGCATCAGCTGACACCCATGGGCCACGTCCAAGTATACACGGGTTCTGATTTTGAGTCCACTGTCAAATGTACATTTCATCTGAAGGCTGGATTCCTGGCTTTTCTTGAAAAATGGGACAATCTGGCAACAGCAGGCTACAATGGCCTGTGAGCTTCCCCAGTCCCCTCCATCCCTGGGGTCCACCCAGGCAGGGCCCTGGAGGCATTGGGTTAACTACCCACGACCCCATTTCTCACAACCCCATTTCTCACATCATCGGGAGCTCAGGGACCTGCCCCAGGCCTGCAGCCCCAGGCGGGGGTGGGGAGGGAATGGCACGTCCCATGGACTCCCTGGTGCTGAGGGCCTGGACCCCCTGCACAGACCCCCTGAAGTCCACCCAGTGAGAGCTGGCAGGGGCTCCTCTGCAGCAAACGGTATTTCTGGGTGAGTCGTGCCTGTTCAAGTCCTCTTGTCTGCCCACCCTAGCCCCTCAGGACCCCAAAGAGAACCTTTCCTTGCAAGAGGGGTGGTTGTAGAAAGACTCTTCCTCAGATGTTTCAGTGGGGGACTGGCAGGCAGGGGGCCATGAGCCATGAGCAGACCCACGGTGCTCCCACACTGCCCCCGTCTCCCCAATCTCTGGCTGCTCCCCCAGGGCCTCCCTGCCCTGCAGGCCCTGGAAGAGGGCTCCAGGCCTTCCTGGCTGCAAAGTGTCCTTGATTCTGGGAACTGGACAGGCTGCAAGCTCCCCGAGGGCAGGACCAGGCACCCCGCAGGCTCTCAGGAACACGGGCTAAAGCCCGTGGCGTCGTGGCAAGTCCACGATGGAGTCTCAGGGCCAACTCACTGTGCACGGGTCAGGGACACAGCGCCTTGCACAGGGGACATGCCTTCCATTCACAGGGATGGGGGCCCACACTTCAGAGGCCGCTCCCAGACTCCCCGGGCGCAGGGCCTCTCTCTCACTCCAACCGAGGCCCACCTGAGCTGGCGGAGGTCTGAACGTGGCCCCAGTCTCCTATCAGCAGGCATGGCAGCCCCCTCCTGAGCTGCCCTCCCAGAAGGCCTGGTGTGGGGGGCAGGGGGCGGTTCCCTTGCTGGCCATGGCGACGGAGACAGTGCTCTCCCTGCCCGCTCCTCCGCGGCCCTGGTCTGGGAGGTCCAAGGGCTGAGCTTGAGGGGGGGTTCTGCTGCTGATCCCAGGCAAAACGTCCGGGCCTCGGTCTTGTCACCTGCATGAGACGCAGGCAGATGTCTCCGCATTTATTCCAGGCTCACCTGGGGGCTTGATGAGTCCATCCCACTTGAGATGCATCCTTGAACCCTGGGAGGTGAAGGGATTAAAGGGCTCCCCACCTCCCCTAAGCCACCTGGAGAAGGCATAGGCCCCCCACGGCCCCTGAGCCTCAGGGAGAGGCCTGCTTCCCAGAGGACCACCGCCTGCAGCAGTGCCCAGCTCCCAGCACAGGAGAGGAGACGCGAACCCTTTTTAAAAGGGATAGGGGGCTGAGGGGGGTAACTGCTAAAGAGTAGGGGGTTCTTTTGGGGGTGATGAAGATGCTCTAAAATTGTGGTGAGGGTTGCACAACTCTGAATGTGCTAAAAACTACCTGATCATACTTTATTATTTTATTTTTTTTATAAATTTATTTAATTTTGGCTGCGTTGGGCCTTCGCTGCTGCATGCGGGCTTTTCTCTGGTTGTGGCGAGCGGGGGCGGGCTACTCTTCGTTGCAGTGCACGGGCTTCTCATGGCAGTGGCTTCTCTTATTTATTTTATTTATTTATTTATTTATTGGCTGCGTTGGGTCTTCGTTGGTGCACGTGGGCTTTTCTCTGGTTGTGGCGAGTGGGGGCTACTCTTTGTTGCGGTGTGCGGGCTTCTCATGGCGATGGCTTCTCTTGTTGCAGAGCACGGGCGCTAGGTGCAAGGGCTTCAGTAGTTGTGGCACACAGACTCAGTAGTTGCAGCTCACGGGCTCTAGAGCGCAGGCTCAGTAGTTGTGGCGCACGGGCTTCGTTGCTCCGCGGCATGTGGAATCTTCCCGGACCAGGGCTC